ATTTCTGCGGCTGACTACATATTTCTTCTCGTGGTCTTGCAGCAATGTGAACTCTGTTTTTAACTACACCAGTGCCGCATAACAGCGCCTTGATTTTACTTCTGAATTGGTCATTCAGGTAGGTATATACGATGGGGTTAACTGTTGAATTGCATGCAACCAGGACGATGGAAGTGATGTCAGCAGCGTCTCCATAAGCGAATTTGGAGCTGAACAGGATCAAAGCGAAGATGACGATGTCTGGGGTCCAACACAGTCCGTAGATAATGCTGATTGTCACAACCATTTTTGTGACGCGTTTACGTACTCTGATTACACCCTAAAGAAATACAGAGGATCCGTTACCCGGATTGATTATAATAAAATTAAATAAAGCGTTCTCTGAAATATTATTAAAAATACGAGCTTTCCAGAGCCAGTCTACTGGCTAATCGACGAATAAAAATTTGTGATAAAATGACAGGTTAAAATTTTGAATATACGGAGTAATCTATATTCATGTCCATGGAACTACATTGGCGAAACCAGAAAGATAATTTAGCACCAGAAGAAAAGAAAATGTCAGAAATACAAAACAATATGTTAAATGTTCAAACTCTGCAAAACTTGCATGGACTTTTAATAATAATAATAATAATAATAATAATAATTTTATTACTTGTTATCACTTATTTGTCCCTTTTGTAGCTGGAGAAACTTATTTTAACCCTGCTGTTGTACAAAAAAATNAACTCAGCAAGCCTACACGCTGCAACTTATAGCCTGAACGTTCCCAGAAAATTTCTGCGGCTGACTACATATTTCTTCTCGTGGTCTTGCAGCAATGTGAACTCTGTTTTTAACTACACCAGTGCCGCATAACAGCGCCTTGATTTTACTTCTGAATTGGTCATTCAGGTAGGTATATACGATGGGGTTAACTGTTGAATTGCATGCAACCAGGACGATGGAAGTGATGTCAGCAGCGTCTCCATAAGCGAATTTGGAGCTGAACAGGATCAAAGCGAAGATGACGATGTCTGGGGTCCAACACAGTCCGTAGATAATGCTGATTGTCACAACCATTTTTGTGACGCGTTTACGTACTCTGATTACACCCTAAAGAAAATACAGAGGATCCGTTACCCGAATTGATTATAATAAAATTAAATAAAGCGTTCTCTGAAAAATTATTAAAAATACGAGCTTTCCACAGCCAGTCTACTGGCTAAGCGACGAATAAAAATTTGTGATAAAATGACACGTTAAAATTTTGAATATACGGAGTAATCTATATTCACGTCCATGGAACTACATCGGTGAAACCAAAAAGATAATTTAGCACCAGAAGAAAAGAAAATGTCAGAAATACAAAACAATGTGTTAAATGTTCAACCTCTGCAAAACATGCATGGACTTTTAATGATAATAATAATAATAATAATTTTATTATTTGTTATCACTTATTTGTCCCTTTTGTAGCTGGAGAAACTTATTTTAACCCTGCTGTTGTACAAAAAAATGGATTTCTCTCTCCTCCCACCAAGTCCATGACCGAGGCCATAACTTTGATTAACCTCTTGTATTCATGAATTCCTGTTGTTGTGCATCTAAAGGCCTGTTTGTGTTCAGTTTTGCCACAGTAAATGTTTGAAATTGCTTTTTATTCGTACCCTTTGAGAACCATTGGTTCTGCCATCTCGCTTTATCCACAGAGAATAAACGACTCTTGAGTATAAAACTCCCATAGCAATCATCGGCGCACCAGCAGCTAACAGAAGCCATGTTAAGCCCTGGGCCTTAGCCATCCATTGCTCGGGCCAGTGTTGAGTGCAAAAATAATCTTGTTCACTGAAGTATTTGGTGAAAAAAGAGGGAGCGTTCAGTAGAGCTGAGGACATCCAAATAGTGGGAACTATGAACTAGGAAAGAACATAGCAACAGAAGGATGTAGATAACGTAACGTCATTTAAAGAAATTGTTTCCCACAAATCTTATAGCCTTTTTTGACACCTTCTTTTCTTAATTTCCACAAAAACTAAAAGACACAAACTCTATCTTTAGAGAGGCCTTAATCCTGATGATAGGTTAGGAAAAAGAGAAAGAGAAAAGTAGAAAGAAATTTAAATGACAATAAAGGGGGGGGGGGGGG